ACCTTGTAGGGGATAGTCATGTTATAGTATTATTTGCTGATGATACTTCCTTGATTTTTAAACTTAAACGTCAATCATTTAAATGTGACGAAGTGAATAATGCTATATCAAAATTAGTGCATTGGTTTAACGTTAATAATCTGCATTTGAACGGAAATAAAACTAATTGTGTTAAATTTCCGCTCGATCGCTTCTTCAATACGAGCTGTATTGAAGTTGCGTAAGTCCCGCCGCATGCATTTGGAGATCTGTCTGTTCAGATGCCTGTATGCTGTCAAGTCTGTTGAAGAATGCAGCTTCATCTCCCGTCTAACAGCCATGAGATTAAGAGTGTGATCGGAGAGTTTTTGTGTTCTTCTGCGGCGGGTCTTGCAGAACTTAGCTCCAACCGCATAGACAGTTTCCACGAGCTTGTCATTCAAAGTCTTTGCCAGAGATCTGTCTGCCAGAAAGAGCCAACTGTCAAAGCTGAAGACAGAATGTGGCAGCATCGTTTCCGGGACACCTGAGATTTTGAGTGAGATTGAGAGGTTCTATGGGCAGCTGTACACATCATCGTTGGAGCCACACGCAAGTGTGAGTAACGATTCAAGAGCGAGTCTCATCCGACACTATTCCGAAGATATCCCGGATGTCAGTCTGAGCGAGATTAGGATGGCTCTCCAGCACCTTAAAAACGGTAAGGCCCCAGGCGAGGATGGAATTACAGCGGAGCTTCTGAAAGCGGGTGGAAGACCGGTACTTGAAGTCCTTCAGAAGCTCTTTAATTCCGTCCTCCATGGTGGCATTACACCGGAGGCGTGGAGCAGAAGTGCGGTGGTCTTGTTCTTCAAGAAAGGTGACAACGCTCTCTTGAAGAACTACAGACCGATTTCCCTTCTGAGCCGCGTCTACGTGCTGTTTTCGAGAGTCATTACGAATCGTCTCGCGCGCAGACTTGACGACTTCCAGCCTCCCGAACAAGCCGGTTTCCGAAAGGGCTTTAGCTCCATAGACCACATACATACCCTTCGGCAAGTTGTACAGAAGTCCGAAGAGTACAATTTGCCACTATGTCTGGCGTATGTGGACTATGAGAAAGCCTTTGATTCCGTCGAAATTTGGGCGGTGCTGCAGTCCCTTCAGCGGTGCCAAGTTGACTGTCGGTATATCGAAGTGTTGAAGTGCTTGTACAGTAGGGCTACGATGGCTATCCGAGTACAGAACCAGAGTACGAAACCTATCCAATTGCAGAGAGGTGTAAGACAGGGTGACGTCATATCCCCGAAACTCTTCACCGCTGCATTGGAAGACGTTTTCAAGCTTCTGGACTGGAAAGGATACGGTATCAACATCAATGGCGAGTACATCACTCACCTTCGATTTGCCGACGATATAGTCCTTATGGCAGAATCGCTGGAGGACCTAAGCACTATGCTCAATGACCTCAATAGTGTTTCCCAACGGATAGGTCTTAAGATGAACATGGACAAAACTAAGATCATGTTTAATGTCCATGTCACACCTATGCCGATAGTTGTTGGGAACACTAAGCTCGAAGTTGTTGACGAGTATGTTTACCTGGGACAAATAGTCCGACTGGGTAAGTCCAACTTCGACCGAGAGGTCAATCGACGGATTCAACTCGGCTGGGCAGCGTTCGGGAAGCTACGACACATCTTCTCGTCAGACATACCTCAAAACCTTAAAACGAAATTGTACAACCAGTGCGTGTTGCCAGTGATGACTTACGGAACTGAGACGTGGTCCTTCACTGCTGGCCGTATGAGGAAGCTCAAGGTCGCTCAGCGAGCTATGGAGAGGGCTATGCTCGGAGTTTCTCTGCGTGATAAACTTAGGAATGAGGATATCCGCAGTAGAACCAGAGTGACCGACATAGCCCAACGGATTAGTAAGCTGAAGTGGCAGTGGGCCGGCCATATAGCTCGAAGAACCGACAACCGATGGGGAAGAAAGGTTCTCGAGTGGCAGCCTCGTACCGGTAGGCGAAGTGTAGGGCGTCCCCCCACGAGATGGAGTGACGACCTGGTAAGACATGCAGGAAGTCGATGGATGCAGGTGGCTCAGGACCGTGTTTTGTGGCATTCTTTGGGGGAGGCCTATGTTCAGCAGTGGACTTGTGAAGGGCTGTAATGATGATGATGATGATGATGAATGTGTTAAATTTACAACAACGAATGTTCAAAATCTGTATACCAATGTGTTTTTAAATGGGGAGGAATTGAGCCCTGTTGTATCCACTGTTTTTCTTGGCATCACTCTTGACGCAAAACTCCAGTGGGGCTCCCATATATCCAAATTAGCACGCAGACTAAGTTCTGCAGCCTATGCTGTAAAAGAGATTAGAGGTCTCACTAGTGTCGAGACAGCTAGATTAGATTATTTTAGTTATTTTCATAGCATAATGTCTTATGGGATTTTGCTATGGGGAAATGCGGCTGATTCAGAAACTATTTTTGTTTTACAGAAGAGGGCCATTAGAGATAAATTTAAAGAAATTAATATACTAATTTTGGCCTCTCAGTATATTTACGAAAATTTAATGTATGTTCACAAAAACAAAGATAGTTTTAGTAAAAGAAGTGATATACATTCTGTAAACACTAGGAACAAACACAAGCTAGTGATACCAGTTTCTCGACTCCACAGAGTCAGTAATTCATTCTTGGGGCAATGTATACGCTATTACAACAAGGTCCCGGAAAGTGTACAGGTTCTCTCTATTACCAAGTTTAAATGTTTTATTAAGCTGAAACTGTATAAAAAGGGTTATTATAGTATAAATGAATACATGGTTGATAATAACCCCTGGGAATGAGGTGATCGCTTCCAAGCAGTTTCTAAAATAAATTTTGTAAATAGTTCGTAATCATTTATATTGTAAAATTTATTTAAAAAAAAAGTCTCGCTGGGTTTTTTGCTGGTTCTTCCCAGGACAGAGGGTTTTCTTCGAACCAGTGGTAAAGTAAAAAATGACTTTCAATAAGAATTACACATGTAATGTATATTGAATAAAAAATATTCTATTCTATTCTATTCTATTCATCTGTTGGGTATGTATTTTTAATGTATTCATTTTATCTTGCTGATATTTATGTATGTTTATCATTTTCATTTACAATTATATATTTATACAGCCCAACCAGATGAGAAAACTTTATAGGTACCCCATAATAATTTATTTCAATAAACTGTATCTCAGGTGTATGTGCTACTAGATACGTTTACAAATATTTTCTGTTTCTTATATAAAATGAATAACAAACTTACTAATTAGGGTTATTCCTGTTCCCCCGGACTGCGATCAAGTGCAGACGTGCTAACTTATATTATTCTATAATAAATTCAAACCGTAATTCATTAATTCACTTGTGACAAAAATTCGAGAGAAAAACATAGGAGTGCATACTTGTATAGGATCATATGACGGTCATCGACACTATAGTCCCGAAGCTCCACCCAATATCTACGAAGCAGGGATAACTAGGTCTACCCTTTAGACCAATCACTATGTACTTCTGCAATCCTGGTACCGTAAGTGCATAGAGACTATTGTATTGTGTTTGAAATCAATTTTTACGACGAACATTGGTCACTTTAGAATCCCACCCACAGTTGAAATGTAAACTCCGTCGACTGTTGCATGATCACCGACCTACCCAGCGTCATCAGTAGGTTAGTCTTGGAAAGGCTTTCATCCAGCAGGGGATTACGAAATAATTGTTATTCAACAAGTAAATTGAGGGGTGTATAAAGAAAGAAGCAAATATTATGAGAAAATAATTTATTGAATAATACAATGAATGTACAATAAGTGTCCACAGAGCCATCTGGCCGCAAGTCCTGGCAACTTGCTCTAACAAGGCAACATAACAATTAACAATACTAAATATTTCAAGAAAGTCGGGCCTTGTACAAATCGCTACGCCAACTCAATGCTCATGTACAACAGTAATTAAAATTTATAATTAAAAATATACTAAGGAAGATACAAAGTGCAGATACATTAATTGCGACTTTATTGTATTTTTTTTATATCCACTTACCATTTTTAATATAACGGTTCATACGCTCTGCATAACTTGGAACGATTATTAACATTTATTGTTTGGGCGTAAAATATCTTTTTTTTTTTTTTTTTTATAGGATAAGGGTGACAAACGAGCACACAGTCCACCTGATGTTAAGTGGTTGCTGCGGCCCATAGACATCTACATCTATCTTCTGTTACAAATCAAAATGTAGATGCGTTGTCACTCGTGAGGACTAAGATGGAATGCCTCATTTCCAGTAAAAAGGGCCTCCGGCCACCTGCACTCACCAAGCGAAACGCAGAGGTAAACCTCTACTTCACGCTGGTTTTCTGTGAGGTCGTGGTACTACCCCGGTTCGAGCCGGCCCATACGTGCGACAGCAAAAGCTGCCGCGTGGCTCTACCAATGATATCTTATTTAAAGTTTCAGTGAATTTGTAAATATGTGACTTTCCAGATTTCAAACATTTTTTTTAAACTTAGGTAATCCATATCATATTAAGTAGGTAGCTGAATTTTTCTTTATACTTATTGCAAGGAACCAAAAAGTAAATAGAAAGCATTTGCTGGAATTAAATGCGTTCAGTGTATAAAATCTATGGAATATTGTCTATCATGATATCTTTATTTCGGTGTAAGCTAAACCTATTAATATAATTTTTTTAACATTTTTTCTATTGCTAAAAACGCGTGCACTGTCATTACAATAATTATAAAACAAATTTAAAAAAATGGGCACGAGTCAAGTACGTCAATAAGTATTGCTCGTCTCTATCAATTACAGAGCTTATGTAGAATATGAAGCGAATTTTAGGAAGATAAATATTTTTGACATATTCAGAAAATATTATTTAATATGTGGAAGTAAAGATCGCGAACAATTCTAACATAACACCGTTATCACTGACTTGAAAGTATGGTATCACGTTTGTTGCGTGCACGTAGCTGACTCGCAGCGGGTACGCAGCTAGCGGTGCCGCGAATACTGCAGGCCAAGCTCCTCGACGACCTCTTGTATTGCGGCGAGGCATGTGTCCAGCTGCTCACGATTGTGCGCCGCTGACATGCAGAACCTGGAGTAACCAAACAGTGTTTTGAACGCTCACATTCGCACTACAACAAACATCAAACATCAATATAGTGAAGTTTCGAGAGCGGTGCTGAAGCTTTTCTAAACTAACAAATATGTCTCGATGACTTTTATTAACGGCATGTATTTAACTCGGCGACAAATCAATCTGAATTAGAGATTTTAAAAAATTTAAAGCGGGTAGCAAAAATAACATGTTGGCAGCTTCAGTGCAGGATAATTTAAAGTAGAAATCACCTACTTTATAATCAGTTGTAAGCTTTGTTTTAATTTAAACTGGCATTGATTTTTTGTTTTGGTAACTGAATTTATTGTTAAGCGAACACTTGATAAAAAGTAGAAAATAGACTTTTTTAAATTATACAATGAGGTTGTATATAAAGTTAACTGAAATAAGAAGAAAATATGAACATGGTCATAAAAACATACTTTGTAAGACATTTTAAGAGCTCTAAATAAAGCAAATAGTAATACTCAAAAAAAAGTTATTTGTCTATAATTTTCCTATAATGGCGAAACAGTAAAAGGCATAAAGGTAGAAAGGTATTTATTTATTCAAAATTATAAACGAAAGTAGCTATCACAATGAATGCGAATCAAACAATGAATACTAAAACTAACAGTTATAGGAATTTAAAAAAACTTGTATTATTAGGGCAGTTTTTGATTTGGTAGGAAGCCCACGCTTTCTTTTTAGTCCAAACGGACTTGCCTCTAAAGGCGGAGTGGTTAGTTTCAGCCATATGGCAAGAACCAATACATGTTTACAAGTATATATTTTAAAGAATTGATGGGTCATGCCCGTGGCTTTACCTTTTTCTGTCCATTCTTTAAGTTCAATTTTGTGTGTTTTTGGGAATGAGTACTTACTGATATCGTTTGACTAATGCGTAACTATCTCGCTTGCTACAGGAAGGAATCATGATAGGAGAAAGCGTTCTCGCGCGTATTATGGTCTTTGATTGACTTGTTAAATGCTTCCAAAGCGTTGTTAGTAGTCGGTAAAAGAGTTGCTGCTGCTCCTAAGAACCAGATTTTTGGTAAGCCATTCTTGTTTAAAATATGCTATGAGTGTAGTCTTAGAAGCGTGTTTGACGATAAAAGCTTGGGAAGCAGTTTTGAAAATATCCGGTGATTATGCGTTATGTAAAACTTCTATATCTTGCAAAATGTCTTTTCAGAATTTTTTTCCACAGATTGCTCAAATTTTTTTAAATGTTTTTTGGCGTGCGCCCAACGCATGTGTACCATGGTATCACAACCAAAAACATCCAAAAATGTATTTGTATTGCTTGAGCTGCATCACGCACTAAGACTTTTGGTTTAAAATAGAGGTCAAAATCTGATGAACAAATCTTATATTTTGAGGCACTAAAAACCATCTCAAATCTGCTCATTTGTTGAAAATCCTAAGCAAAGTGGATAGAATTTACGGTTTTTGTTTTTTGTGCCTACAACTAATACAGCGAAATTTTGCTATATTAACTTGTAGGGTAGCGTCAGTGTGTAAAACGTCGATAGAACATGCAAATATCAATAAACTTTTGAAAAAAGAACTTTTTTTTTAAAACAAATCTGAAGGTCAGTTGATCACTCTCCAATATCCAGTAATCCATAACAAATGGTTTATCCTCGTCTTCGGGAATGCTTTCATTGTCATGTATCCACTTTTGTAGATTGCCCAAATTTAACACGCCGTCTGTCATTTAAATAATTATTTAGTTGCATTTTTGTAGACAATGTAATTCCATAGATCTTTTGAAGAGCAGCTAATATAGATTTTGGCTTTAAATGCAGGTAAAATAGTTTGTTAATTTCTATTTTAGTTTGAACATTAATACCGTAATCGTCTCGAGCCTGCTAATTTAAACTGATTCATTTTTATACATAAAGTAGCCTTTTTAACAAAATACGACAAAAATAATTTGAGATCGAGTTCACGTATATTTATGCAATAATTGCTGGTGAATACGAGTAATATAAACAATAACAAGCTATCGCGAGTCCCGTGACTGAACGTAGTGGTTATATTCTCTTTGCCCGTGACGTTTGCCCGCCGCTTGACATTGGCTAGTAGCGCGCTTCACCCCCGTGCCTCGGCGTGCACTCTGCTTCTATGCAACTACCACGCTTGTCGCCGTTTTCATTACATTATGATTCAACAAACAAAAAAACTGAAATCCTTATACTTAATTATAGTCCCTGTTATAATTTTTACAGCTGCTTTTAAATCGCAGCCCGAAAGTGTAATTTTATATGGGAGCCTATTGTTGCCAATAATATAATGTTTGCTACCCTAAAGTAGCAGCCATTATTTAGTTTTATAAATTCTTGCATTTTGAAGCTCATCTTATATAATTATTGCTAAAATATTTTACCGCTGCCATATACAACAAAATAGTTAGTCACCCTTTAAATTGTTAGTCACCTCAAAAATAATTAGCCTTTATTAACTACTAGTAGCGCGTCCCGGCAATGCCCGGGTTATACAATTATCTATATGGTTATAATATATTTCAAATTTAGTTAAGTGGTTATAGCTTATTTTAAAAATTCTTCATATAACACATTTTTGTTGCTCTATTTATCTGAGGCTTTAATATAAATTGATTCTCCGCATTTCCTAACCTACAGAGACCAATATATAATTGACCGTGAGTAAAACAATCGTCCTTCAAGCCAAGTCCAATATATTTGCCTTGGGACTTGTTAATGGTGACAGTGAAAAACAAAATTATTGAGTTTTTCCGTCAATACATTCTCAGTAGCTGCCCGAAATCAGGAAATTGGCGGTGTTTCACCCCCCGTGCCTCGGAAAGCACGTAAAGCCGTTGGTCCTGCGCCTGATCTCTCTCCGGTCGTGTCGGTTTACCGTTCCATCGGGCTATGAGAGTAAGGGAATAGAGAGTGCACCTGTGTATGCGCATACACTTGGGCACTATAATCCTGTCCTGCTCCGATGGCTAGTCTCCGTTGAGACTGGCCGCCGTGAGCGAAATTCGGTCTGGAGGACATTATTTTTATTCTTTCTAAAATTTGTTCATTGATATGGTCAACAGAAGAATTTCTTGGCGAAACTATTGCCCTCTCGCACATTCATGTTTAATCTTTTTGAGAAATATTCTCAATTTCTGAGTATACATTTATAATTAAATCATAAAGATTTCTGATAGATTTTTCCAACTCATCTACTTTAATAAGGTCATCTCCTTCAGGTATTTTCCCATCACCTACTTATAATAAAAAACTTGCGAAATATGTATTGCCTTCTCCTAAACGGGCTCTCATGTTTGTACTTAAGGTGATTGATTGTACAGAGCTCCAAAATGGAGACGCCTTTAAGCAGGTTTCAAGTATATTTGCAAGTGTATCTCGAGACACAACAGGAAAAGTTTGATGAAAGTCACCGACCAACACGAAGTTGACGTTTCCAATAATTTTATCTAAATTTTTTAGATTATCTAAAATTCTGTCGGCACAAACAGAAGCTCTATTTGAGAGCGGTGGCTCATCGAATATTTGTCCCACATTATGACAAGGCCACATTAAAGAAATTTGCCCAGTGGCCCTTATTTTCTTATAGAACATACGGATTTTTTTCTGGATAGAGACACATAAAGGCAGTTTAAATGTGGAGTGTGTAGTTTTTCCACCACTAAGAGAAGTCGTATACTGGTATAAACCACCTCAAGAGCCAGTTTGTCTATAAAAACTCGAATTCGGATACGTTTTACTTGAAGCATACATAAAAAAAGATAAAGAATAAAATATAAAATATATTTTTTTTATTCTTAACCGAGAATAAAAACTTTTTTATACATTTTATATATAATTTTAATGAGTCGAAACTATTCGAATTTGAGATTTTTCAAACATTTCGAAATTCATAACTCTGAAAACATTTACTTTATCATAAAAAAATCATAGAACCTTTTTATTTGATTTCATAAAAGAATATTAAAAAAAACAGTCCCGTTTAAAAATAACTATTCATATTCAATAAAAAAATATTTAAAAACAAAAACATGGTTAAAGCCATGTCTTCCATCCATATCCTATTCCATTCCAGGATTCCAGTTAATACGCAACGACCGAACTGCACGGGGTGGTGGTGGTGTTGCCATTTACCTTCGTGCGCATATACCTTTTTCCATTGTTCGTTTATCATCTCAATTTCCAGCTGAGAACGAAGCGGAATACTTATTTATTGAAGTGCTTCTTTCGCACAACAAATTACTTATCGGAGTTTTTTATAGTCCTTCTTCCACAGTTGACTATTTTACCACATTGGATAACCTTCTTGAAGAGCTAACTCCATTATATAAACATACAGTGCTAATGGGCGATTTTAATACTTGCCTTCTTAAGAATAACGACCGATCTCTTCGTCTTAAGTCCCTTATAGAAGCAGCCAATTTAAATATCCTTCCTCTTTCTGAAACTCATTTTTTTCCTAACTGTGTTCCATCCCTCCTTGATTTGGTTATCGTTTCTTCTCTCGACCATGTTGATAAATTTGGTCAATGTGCTGCCAACGCCTTTTCCTATCATGACCTCCTGTTTCTATCTTATAAAATAAGACCACCGAAAGCCAAATCAAGGATACTTCTGCAGCGTAATTTTGAGGAAATGGATTTGGAAAAGCTACAAAAAGACGCTGCTAACATGGACTGGAGTGTTATAACTAAGGCTTGCTCAGTGGACGAACAGGTAGCATTGTTTAATTCATTTCTTGTTCAGCTCTATGATATACATGCTCCTGTCCGCCCAGTGCGAATACGTCATCCTCCAGCCCCATGGTTGACTGAAGATCTTAAAAGATTGATAGTTAGGAAGAATAACGCAAAGTCGAGTTACAGGTCAGATCCAAAGAATGACAGGATTCGGGAAAAGTACAGACTCCTGCGGAATCAATGCAACAAGCTGTGTAGAGATTTACGACGCCGCCATATCCATAAATCAGTACAAAACGAAGATCCATGT